GATGTGAAGCAAGAGAACAAGGATATCTGAGAAACAGAGAAATATGGGTAGCTATCAGGGAGAAGGAAGGCCTTTAAAACCATATAAATATCTTCTAACATCTAATTTTCAGAACAGGGAATTTTAGCACAGTCGTACATGTGTGGAACAATACAAGTAATTTTCTACATCTTAAAGGCTCAAGTGTTTTTGCTATCACTGATAATTATCTTGAGCAATTTTGCGATGCTCCATTTCTCAAAGGTGCTCTGACATAAATTCAGTCTGAAATAGATGACTAGTGCTTGATCTCTTGTAGGCATCTGAGAACACAGATATGCAAAGTACATTGTGTTATGCAATGCTATACATAATTGTTTGCCCTCCTAATGGATTCCTTAATTGGGTCTTCTGAGCACTATGCTTAAACATTATCATTTTGCTAATGCTTACTAGGTTTCACAATTTACCTTCCAGTAAATTAATGGCCTTCAAATGAGTGATCTAAAATGCAGCGACAGCTGCTCAAACAAGGGCAGCCAGACCAGTGTATTTTTAATTCTCACAAGAAGTGTCATCTAAGTGAAATAAAACATGAACATAGGCAGATTGATTCTGATGCTACTTAATTGTTGATTTTAATCTGAGGTTTTAATATTCTATCTTAACCTTGCTTTCCCAATATGCTTGTATTAGGATCTGGTTCCTGGTTATGCCTGCCATATGTTCTTGTTTTTCACAGGATCTCAACCTTTATTGAAATGAATTTATTGAAAATAAATGTGAATTTAAGTACCTTTAGGCAGTGTTTTACAAGAACTTAGAGACCAAGCTGCTGATCAAGTGCCTGCACCTTGAACACAGAGATGCCAACATCAGGGTGCATTTGGTGCCAGTGCTTAGGATGACGGGACCAATGGTTAAAAAGGAAGTGAGGGTTAAGACCTGCAGTGTAAAAGTTTATGTGGCTCAGCTCCAGATAAGCCAGTATCTTAAACTGGTACTACACTGTCATTGCCTGCCATTCAGAGGGTCCAGCTGAAAAACAAGACAGTGATGTGTTTGAGTTACTGAAGGAATAGTTCCCACATTCGTGTTACTAGACATTGACAGGGCGTTCAGGTTTAACACGGCATTTTAAGTTTTGCAAAAGATCACATGGCTAGAACCTTAAGTAATGGAATATGTTTGAGTATTCTAAAATTTTTGTAATAGTGTGATGTAAAATCAATTGCAAAAATAACCCCCAAAGCCCAATACTCCTTCAGCCACTCCATTGCTCCTTATCAACTGCAAGCCTACTAGGTCTACATGGAAAGAACTAAGCCAGAAAACATTCTGTATCCTCTAGCTACAGTTAAAACCCCAAAACTATGTAATAAAATGATCACACTAGAGTTTAAGAGGACTGCATTTCTGCTGCAGTATAAAGTTTCGTTTACTTCTGAATGAGTAGAGAAATTCACTAATTTCGAAAATGTACAGATCAAATCAGCCTGATTTCAGACCAGTAAGTATCTGCCTTCTGTCCTTCCTCCTGTTCCTATGCAAACTGCTATCAGCAAGCTGCACTGCTGCTGAATTTTCCTCTGCAGGGCATGTGTTGCACAGCTGTTTCCCTTAACATCTTCTGTAACTGAACACAAAGGTTAGCAACTGTAGGGAGAAGGTACTGAAATCATTAAATTTAGCATCACCCTCTCCTTATGTATCTGTTAGTATTTCAGGTAATTGTAATAACTGCAAGAGCTACTATGAAGGCTATGGAAACCCTAGATGTCTAAGAGACAGAGAACACTTGCAATTAACCTGCAGAATCATTAACCTGCACTGACTTTAGTCAGAAAATTCCTAAGCGAGGTGTTACATTTCCACCCTGTTTTACTCTGCTGTCCTTCATTCTATATGCCAGAGGAGCATCTGACTGTTGGAGATTAATTAGTAATTAAGAGTTGCTTCAGAAACATTACAAGTTCAGAGAAGAAAGCAACCTAATCATGTTAGAAAATTAACAGTTAGAGATCAAAATTCCAGTCTCCTGAGATTTTCTTTTGAGCATGAAATTTAAATAACTTTCTTTTGACCATACCACATTGACCCCACTAACTAGATGTAATAAACAAATGGGAGATATTCAAGCTGACATTTGAGCAGTGTCAAAGCCTTCTAAGCTTGTTCTGAGTAGATTAGTAGATAAGTGCTAGCCTTCCTATTCTGGGATATGTTCCAAGGCAAGCATGAGGACTGATGATTTCATTTAACTCCAAAGTAATCAGCACTGTATACTTGATACAAAGAATTTGCTTAATTCATAAGACATGCTACCAGTTGACAGCAATGGTGTTGTGATAAAAGTATTTCTCTGCTTGGCACTGCATCTGAGGGCAAAAACTAAATTTCCCCTACTATTCAATCAGTATGTGAAACTATAATTATTAGCAAGGGGTGTGCAGTTTTCTCAGAAATACATAGTGGAACTCATCAACTCTAATCCCAAAAAAATGACATAATAATTTATTTCTTTTCAAACACTAGGGGGTAGCACCAGAGGTGTCCCAGACTCCATAATATATTTGTAGACATTTATAAGATAGCAGCAAATAGATTGAGAGCCAGCTCGCTGCATTCTAGCAGTATTGACAAATCTGCAAGAGTTTTGGTTTGCTGTTGGGAGAAGCTTGCCAGCTATTGCTACTTATTCAGCTTTGCTGTATCTGTCAATGATAACAAGCCCACAGAGATGCTTTCAAAATGGCCCTTAAACATTTCCCAAATGCATCCTCATTCAGTGGGATACATGCCTAAGTCTCTAGTATGTTCAGTGATTATGACTTGAATCCAATTCCAGCACCTGACATTGCAGAGGAGAATCCCTCTAATATGATTACCTTGCAGGACATCATTCTAGGTAAATCTTCAAAACAGAGCCTATAAAACAGAAAAACACTAGATCTTGGCTCTTAGGACTGTAAACTTCTAAATAATAATTGCTCTGACACTCAGTTCTGTAAGACTGTGAAAAGAAATAAAAGTAAGCTTTATCTTCAGCACTGAAACAACATTCCTAAGCCTATTACACAGGCAATACTGGAAAAGTTTTCAGGTTTTATCCTCACCTATAGTAAAGCCAGATCCACAAAAAGGCTTAATTACTTTAAGTGGGGGTTAGTAAAAAAAGTTCAAAATGATAATTAATTAAACCATGAGTACCTCATTAGATCCCTAAGGCTTCAGGAGGCACCCAAGCTTTTCCCAAAGAGGTTTCACACTGGAATTATTACAAGCTTTGCAGGCTTTGCACCTTTTTATTTACCTTCCATTCCTTAGAAATGAGGGTTGCCTGTCACTTTTGTGCAGTTACAGGCATTCAGCAGTGCACTGGCAAGACAGGGTTTGCATATGTAGCATACAGCAGCCAGAGTCATTTGCATTTGAAAGAAAAAAGGAAAATTTCTGTAGCAAATCACTTCTTCCAGCTGTGCTTTAACAGCAGACAGTAAGCTGGTTGTCTATAGCCAAAGACACAAAGTACACGATGGGTTTCATGCTGTGAATCCAACTTAGATTCTTTTCAGCAGAAAGAACCTCAGCTTGGGATAAGTCAGGATTTCCAATGTGCTATCTCTTTGTCTATTCCTCCTGGCTGATTTAGACATGCCTCCTGCTCTGTGAGGGGATTGTGGGTCCCAATCCCACCTGCCTGATGCAGGGCTTTTACAGAGAGGACAAATGAGGGACAGAAACCTGAAGTTAGTTCTGGAAATTAGCCATTTTTAAAATACATGCTGATATGCTGATTTTAGCTGAAGTCTTTGTGGACCAAAGCATAAGGTCTTTTAATGTCCCCTTGGCAGTGTTTAAGGGATTATGTTTATAAAGGTTCGAGAACTCAGCATTTCTGAATGCTAGCTAGTAGTTGCATTTGAATGCAAATATTAAAATGCATTTTTATGGTATACAACAAAATTCATGGAATATAAGAAATATATGACTTACCTAATTTTTTTACTATTGGTTGTCTACTTAAAAATTATTACCTAGCTGACAAGTCACATTTTGCAGTTCCAGAGTGGCATTTGTCAGTCTTGTACTGCGGTAAGGTAAATGTGACTTTGAGGGCCACAGTTCTGTCACCCCATGAACACAAAGCACACACACCTTGTGCTGCACTGTCACCTTTTTTAAATGCCTATCATGACTTATTTCACTAAAGGTCTCATTGAAAATGTCAGTGAAGTTTGGTGCCCTTATAGTTTCAGCCTTATGATACCGTATCTCCTATGAAGTGGGGAATTTGGCTCACCTCATAATGGGGTGCCTACCATGCTGTTAGAGAGCTGGAGTCTGATGTGCCATTAGAGCTCGTGGTGGTCTGTTCGATGTGGTCCCTTGGGGAGCCTGGGGAGCAATTAATTTGATCATAAAGCAGACACCTTCATTTGGCCACCTGAGAAGCTCTCCGGACTCCGCGGTCTGTATTGACTCTGTCTCCATTAGCTGTAATGACAGCTTACCCTAACGAGACACTTACCTGCGGGCTCCCCAAATTAGAGTGAGCCTCCAGGGCCAGAGTTTTCCAAAGTGTAAGGAGTCAGGCCTCCTCAAGGCACGTACCAATTTAAAATTTAAATCGTGTTGAGTCACGAAATCACCGAATAGTTAGGGCTGGAAGCGGCTTCTGGAGATCGTTTAGCCCAACGCCCCAGCCAAGGCAAGGTCACCTGGAGCAGGTGACTCAGGACGTGTCCCGGTGGGTTTTGAATGTGTCCAGAGAGGGAGACCCCACGGCCTCCCTGGACAGCCTGTCCCAGTGCTCTGCGACCCTCAGTGGAAAGAAGTTCTTTCCGTTTCTGAAGATCGGAGTAATTACAGATAGCACACGCTCGCCGCAGCGCCGCCCGCGCCCCCCCGCCTGCCCGGCGGGCCCGGCAGGGGGCGCCGCCCGGTCGCCTGGCGGCGGCGTTTGGCCCATCGCGGCCGCCTTAGCCCTCCCCAGCCCCGGCCCCGGCCCCGGCTCCGGCCCGCCGCGGCTCCTCAGGGGCTGCCCGAGCTCGGGGGCTCCGCCAGCCGCGCCCGCCGGCCGGGCCGGGCCGGGCCGCTGCCATGTTCACCAGCACCGGCTCCAACGGGTTCTGTGAGTACCGGCATCGCCGCGGTCCGGGGAGGGCGGTGGCCAGGGGTGGGAGCGCGGGCGGTGCTGCCGCCGCCGGCCCCGGGGGAGCCTCTGGCTTCGGTCTCCTCTTGGCTGGACTTTTAAACTACGTGACGGCGGGACGAGCCGCGGGTGTGTCTGTGTACATGTGTGTGTGTTCGCCTGTGTATGTGTCTGCATGTCCGTATGTGTGTGTGTCACTCTGTGTGTATGTATTTGCATACATCAATATAGACCTCCATGCCAAGATATATATCAGAAAAAAGCAAAACCCCCTCTCTTTTCCTAATGTGAAATTAAACTTATTTTTAAAAAACATTTTATTGATAAGGCAAACGTAAAGACTAACGTGCCCCTAGCTCTGCTTAGCTTTATTTAACTCACAGCACACTTAAAATGATTTCATGTCCCGGTGCTGCCTGAACTGACTTCACAGGTACCTGGGGTTGGCTCCGAGCTTGTTTACAGGACACAGAATCTGCAGCGTCTGGAAGCAGCAGTGAGGAGCTGACCTGGCTGCTGTGTGGACTTGGGCGCCACAGTCCTAAGAGCAGGCGAGGACAAGTGAAGTCAAAGCTTTGCTGAGTAACTGCGTGCTCCATACAAAATGGGTGGGGGTGTCCGTCTGCTGAAGGACAGGAGAGCTCTGCAGAACTATCTGAACAGGCTGGGTCAATGGGCCGAGACTCAGCAGTATGAGGTTCAGAAAGGTCAAATGCCGGGTCCTGCACTTGGGTCACAACCACCCCAGGCAGCACTACAGATCTGGAGGAGAGTGACTGGAAAACTGCCCAGAAGAAAACGTCCTGGTGCTGGTTGACAGCCAGCTGAACATGAGTCAGTGTGCCCAGGTGGCCAAAAAGGCCAGTGGCATCCTGGCCTGTATCAGCAATAGTGTGGCCAGCAGGACCAGGACAGTGATTATCCCTCTGTACTCAGCACTGGTGAGGTCACACCTTGGGTACTGTGTCCAGTTCTGGGCCCCTCATTTAGGAAGGACATTGGGGTGCTGGTAGCGTGTCCATAGAAGGGCAGTGGAGCTGATGAAGCATCTGGAATGCATGTCCTATGAGGAGTGGGTGAGGAAGCTGGGATTGTTTTGCCTGGAGAAAACGAGGTTCGGGGATGATCTTATCACTCTCTACAAGTACCTGAAAGGAAGCAAAGTGCCTCTTCTCCCAGGTAACTAGTTACAGGACAAGATGAGAGGACTTAGCCTCAAGCTGTACCAGGAGAGGTTCAGGTTTGACATTAGGAGGAATTTCTTCACAGAAGGGATAATTAGATACTGGAATGGTTTGCCCGAGGAGGTGGTGGAGTCGCCATCCCTGGAGACTGGAATATGGCACTTAGTGCCATGGTCTTGCTGACAAGATGGTGTTTGGTCACAGGTTGGACTTCATGATCTCAGAGGTCTTTTCTAACTTAATTGATTCTGTGAAGTCTCTTTGAGTGTGAAAGCACCCTCTGACTAGGGGGGAATAATTCTGGCATTTAAAATAGGGTGTTAGTTGTAGCTGTATTTTATATGAGGAATCCAAAGAAGGGAAGTGTGTTTTTTAGATGGATCTGATAATACTGTACCTTGATTTTTCATTCCTCCCCATGCCCCCCAATAGATACTGTAGGGGGACTTTTCAATGGCATATGTCTGTGTATAATTCTATGAGAAAGAATGTAGGAGGAAAAGTATCCTTGTTCGACTGAATGGGTAGAATGTCATGGTCAGTATTTAAAACTTTGCAAGTTTTCCAGGTTTGGTGTATCAGAAGGATGAGTGGGAAATGGTTGTCATAAGAAACATACTTATAGTAGGGAAAAACACGTAGACAATATGTCATTCTGCAGAAAGGAATTCACAGAATCATAGAATATCCTGATCTAGAAAAGACCCTCAAGGATTATCAAGTACAACTTCTAGCCCTGCACAGGATGGCCCAAGAGTCACATCGTGTACCTGAGAGTATTGTCCAAATGCTTCTTGAACTCTGTCAGGCTGGTGCTGTGATCACTTCACTGGGCAGCCTGTTCCAGTGCCTGGTCACTCTTTAGGTAAAGAACCTTTCTAACCTAAACCTTCCCTGACACAGCTTCATACTCAGTGTTGTACTTTTTTTTTTGCCTTCTCAAAAACAAATATAATATACGTTCTTACTGAACTTACCTGTTGACCTAAAGTGGGTTTTTAAAATAAGACTTGACTGGTGCAGGTGCACTGACAAACTCCAGTAGAAGCATGGATTTAAGTGCAGTGATATATGCTCAGCTAGGGCACAACTTTGGCAGTTTCAGGTGTCCCTGTGCCCTTGGACTTGTTCCTGTGTGTGTAGCAGAAGTTGCTGCAGTAGCAGCAGGTGTGTGGGATTCTGATGCACAGAATCTGATGGTTCAGGTAGTTCATGAATTGGTGCCTGATGTTGCACCAGGGAACTGTACGTGTGTATGTCTGCCCCTGGGGCTTTGGAATCTCTGGCAGAAGGCAGTGTTGGTGGGTAATGGGACCTGTGTCAATGACTCTAAATAAAATAAGTGGACACCTGGTTCAGCAGCAATAACAATGATCTTGCCAGGTCACACTGAAGGCCCCTGCAGCCTGCTGTGCCATCTCTGACAGACTGATTAACATCTAAAATGTTGGGACGAGGAGATGTAAATGTAAAAATAAACATACCCGATACATGGTACATGAGATAGGGAGGCCAGGAAACAAAGGACACCACCTTTTAAAAGAACAAAGACGGTTTGCCCTTGCTGTGGAAACTGTTTCTGTTATCTGGAATATTGGAGGAGCTGGCATGCTCTGGAAAAAAGAGCCGGTGGCTGTGGGTACCACTAGGAGACACAGCACAGATATATGCACATGGCTTATCAGAACACTAACCCAGTTGAGCTGACCTGTCAAAGAGCATTGCAGTGTGCTTGGGGGGCATCCTGGAACACCTGGCTTTAGGTGTCTGGAGAGGTGGGCTGTGGTGCCAGACCCAGGCTGGTTGCTTGTCTGCTGGCAGCTTCAGTCCTGTGAACAATGCTGCTGAAACACTTGAGAAGTTCTGCGAAGTGCTTTCACTCTCCTGAGTGTGTGAATGGCCTGGCTGTTTGCTTTACTGTAGTGCTGTGTAGTTTGCCAAGAGGCTGCGTCCCAGGAGCCAAGTATGGTTCACAGGAAGGCTTTCTATTTTAACACGGAAAGGTCTTACCAATAGTTTAAACCAGTTAGACCAACACAAAACCTTTCTGCAGATATTGTAATATCCCCTCCCAATATTCTTCATGCTGTTTATGTACTGCACAGGAGTCTAGTAGGAAAGCCTGTAAAGACTTGGTCATTATTAAGGTAAAATTTGAGTCCATCTTTTAAAGCATATACACTTGTTACATCTGGAAAGTATTTGACTACTTTGACTATTGCACACAAGCTATTTCTTGTAGTAGGAGCAAGGAGAATCCTTTGAACTCGCTAGTGCAACTTAGGCTTTTACCTCTGTGAACCTTGTAGTGCAGTGGTAGCAATTTGTTAAAAATCCCCAAGGCAAGAAGGGATCTCTGTGCTCCTCTGCTTGCATAACTGGCAGAACTGAACTCTGTTGTGCAGAGGTGTCAGGAAAATAATAAAGCTATGTAAATTAATGCTTTGTGGTATGACTGAAGGAAAAATGAAGCATGTACTGAATACATAAGACTTTTTTGCATAACAGTATTATGCAGTGCAGTACTGTATGGGAAAGCAAATTAGCTTGTACATCAGCATGCCACAGTGCAGCCTGGTTAGCTTGAGCCCTGGGAGCAGCATAGCACTGAAGGCCACAGAACTCTGGCTATTCTGCTTCTGCAGAGCTAGCTCATTTCATTTCAAACTCCACATGGTCTTGTGGTGTAGCCAAACCTGATATTTCTGACAGTGTAATACTGAAAGTACTATGGTAACATGGCTCTCTGGTTGGAAGGAAGAAAAGTTTGCTGAATGGGGTGAATATTTTTTTTTAACCTGATTGTATTTCTATTTATAGTGTTGCTTTTAGAAACAAAGGTTTTCCTTTTTTTTTTTCTTTTTGTGTCTCTTTTTTTTTTTCAATAGTTTGTGATCTAAGCTACACCTAGCAGTTTTCTAAACAATAAATGTATAGAAAAGTGGTTTGATTGCAGTTTTATCTGAGCCTTTAAAAATAGATTTAAAACATGATCACAGGTTTCTCTATTAACTTTATTAATACTAATATAATTCACCTCTCAGCTTCTGGAGTGAATTTAGAAGCATTTGATGATAAACTATTCCTGCAGTGATACTCTTACTGTTTTCACTTGCAAACAAATATCACTGCTGGTTGGTGAGCCCGCTGAAGATTCTTGGACAGATCTTGGAATACAGATTCATATGTGCATGGTGGTTTAATGCAGGAAAAGCAATCACCCAAAGTGCAGATTCCATAAGTGCTTTTGGGAAGTTCTGTGCATTCAGATGTGTATCAGTTATGGTTTAATTCACAGCTCTTGTATATAAGCATTTAAAAACTGGTTTGTGGGTATTTTGTGCCGTTATAGTAGCCCCCAGAAGTTAATTGCCTGTTTGAAAGTGATGTGCCTGCCTTATAGCAGCTGGGTTTGGGAAAGCTGTGGATGATAGTGGAAAAAAGGAGCTGCTACACAGCATGTTTTGTCTGCAGCTGTGATGTAAGCTTAGTAGGGATCCCACAGAAATTGCCCTGAGCTAATTTGAGCTTCTGCAGCCACTACTCATCAGCTGGCTCATCACTTCACATCAACTGGGAATGAGGTCCTCTCCCAAGTCAACACTTGAGTCTTGAGCCTGGAATAGCAGTCCGGGGGGTGAAGTTGTTCCTGCAAGAGCTCTTCTGCAACAGTAGCTTGGTCTGACTGCCTGTTTTGCTCTGCACATCTGCTGTCTCTTCACCTGTGAGTAGTGAACAGTCAGGGACAGGAAATAATTTCAAAAACTGTAGCTGTTGTTGTAGCTTCTTATTCTTGCCATTTGTGCAGGATGATTTCTGAAGCTGCAACTCAGGCAGTTGTGCCTTAAATCTCTCTCTTTGTTTGTGACAGATGGACACACTTGTATCCTTCACTCTCTGTACTTTAAAAGAGGCACTGGCAACGAGCAGAGTAGTAGCTTGTGGAAGAAGAGGATCTGTGGGCTTCGTAATAAGTGCAGGGATGGAATGTGGAGGCTTAGAAGAAGTTTTCTCATTTATGTCACATTTTAAGATCAGCTTCGCATTGCGCAGTTGGTAGCATGAAGGTTGGGACACTTGCCCATGGGATTATGAGGGCAGTTTTGGGGGACAACTTTTCCATTGCACCAGGAGGAGCCAAAGATTGCTAGTAGAAGCTAATTCCTTGCTCTTCATCACAGCTTGGGCACATCCTGTTGGTTATTTACAAAATTTCTCTGTGTACTTAGGTGGGCACTCAGTACATGTGTTGCAGCACCAGTGCTATAACTGCCTGTTGTTTAAAAGAAATGCCACTTGAGGAACACTTCGGGATTGCAAATTTATTCCAAGATCTTTGAAGACAGTATTTGATATATTTTAACTTTCAAGGTCAAAATGAGTGTTTATCCTTTCATTCTTCTTTCTCTATGTGGTATGAAGACACTGTGTTTTNGTGCACATTTGCATTGGTGCTGCCATTGGTGCCCTGGTAGGTTTGTGGTAACTATTTCCATCTCACACATGGTTGCACATTCTTTGGATTAGAATTCTGCTTTCTAAATTTTACCTTTGCATTGTAAGTAAGGAATTTGACTTGGATGTCAGGATGCCTGATTGTGCAAAATCTGACATTGTTTGTCATTGTTGGTCTCACGTGGTTGAGGCATTCCACAGCAGTGGGAAGGTTGCTCCTTCCCTGTAACCTCACAGCAGTCCTTGAGAAGGATCTATATGCTGTTGAGGGATAAAGCAAACTGCTACACTGTGCAGAAAACACTTGGAAAAAGAATTTCAAGAGGATGCATTATTATATTTTTCAAGTTTACCAGACAAGAATAACCTTCTCAACCATTATGGTATTATGAGAAACTGGACAGTAGAAGTTTCCATTACTCATGGTATGTTCCCTGTGGGTGACAGTCAGATTCATGGGTTAGTTGCTTCTGTGGTTTTTCACTTGATGACATATATAATAATAAGTACTTTTCCTCTGTATCAGGGTTTAAAGTGTCTAAGCTGAAAGCTAAAAGGAGGCTCGTAATAAAAACGTCTGTTCATACTTTTGGAGAAAACAGGTTCTGTTGGTTGGTTATTTTTGAAAGCGTTCAAATTAGGAATTAACTTGATAGGAGAAAGTATTTCAAGTGCATATTACCTGTAATGTAAAAATGATCTAACAATAAAAAATTGCAGTAAAATCTACATATTAAATCTGTATAGAAAAATGTAGTCACAGTGGGATATCTAGAGACTTTGTTGTCATGTGCCTCTGTGGTAATGTGATCCTTATGTAAAAAGTTTTATAGGATTACTTCATTCTTGTGAAAACTTCTTAAAATTCATGAAATAACATAAATTCATTTGATAGTAAAATAATTTTATCAGACTTTGGGTTAGACATGTTTACTGTTGTGAATATTACAATTCTTCTGAATTAGGCTGTACTTCCTCGTATCAAAAATCTGTATCCTGATTATAAAATTGACCTTTCAATGTTAAGAAACGTTAATTTAACTAAGTTAACTGAGGGGGTATTGCTTGAGATTTCAAATAAATATATGTGTGCATTGTCTGGCTAGCAGCTTTCTGGAAGCTCCAGCTTCTTTTTTCTCCCCAGTGTTGTATAGGCCTCTAATGGCTTCAGATGGTTTTGGAAAGTCCAACTGAATCAGCAGAATGAATAACTTTAAACAATGAATATCTAAAGAATATAGACTTTATTTTTGGAGAGAAAAAAAACCAAACCAAAACAAAGAAAGATACTAGGTTGAAATGTGGACAGGTTTTTTGCATTAAAAAAAAGAATCAGCCAGAATTTCTGCCTGGGTGTCTCATACAATCATAAAAGTAGAGCTTATATTTAGCACAGTAACATCAACCTGTGTCGATCCAAGTCACTGCCTAATTTCTATAAAAGGATGATTCTTCAAGGCCATACTTGCTTAAATGGAAACTGCTTGTTTAAATAATTAACTCAAAAGGTATGGGTGTGGACTGAATTAATAGTTTTAAGTACAAGTTTTCATTATGATACACATAGAGATGTTTTCTTCTCATGGTGAACATCAGAAGACAGCAAACTTAGAGGTGGTGAATAGCTAACAGTGCCCATCAAAGTCATTCTTGATGTCATCAATTAATACTTGGATGAAGATCATTCCTAAACTATGTAGCAAGAGCCATATTTTCAATGGCAGTGGGATTGTGCCATAATTAAAATATTTTCTTTGGTGGCATCTGCTTTTTCTAGCAGTTCACTGTTCTAGTGCACAGCAGATGTTGAAAAAATCATTCATGGTATTCACTTTAATCTTGACAGGTAGTAAATGTTTATTGTATTACACTGTTTCATTCAGTTTTTTTCCTTCTGTGCTCCTGCTCTTTACTCCCCATTAGTACTTTTAAAGTAATCTCATTGCTCCTTTTATTATATTAAGTAGAATGACAACTATGGATTTTGTAGTACCCTGCAAAAACAGTTGTCTGAAAATGAATGGATTCTGTGCCATAGTTGAGGTGTTTGGAAAGGAATTAAATGTACTTCAGGTTGCATATGTGAAAAGGAAAAGTCATAGAATAAATAATATTTCACAGTCTCTGTGTTGTCTCGAGTTGTTGGGCAAGAGTTTGTGTTTTATTGCATCAGCTGCACCAACAGGTTAGGGTGAATTGCTGGCTATGCTCCTGCTGGATATTCCACTTGGCAGATTTTAGTAAATGTGAAATGTATATTGCAGATTTTGTTTGCTTGCTTTCTTCTGAGTGTCCTTTCTGAAAGCTGTGCCCCTAGAAGGAAAGAAGTTCTGATTTCACAAACATCCTGATCTAGTAATTTCTTTATGAATAATTGTAATGACTGAATGGAAGGAAGATGAATATCAGATAAATTGACTTAGATATGTTTCTTTGAATGGTGGATCTAAGTGCAATGGTGAGAAAGTCCATTTATTCACATGGTTCCTGCTTCATAGCCTCTAAGAAAAAACTAATCTTAATCCCTAATGCAAAGGAAACAGAAGTATTTAACTCTATGTACATGTGTATTTTGCTGGAAAAACGAGCGATTATTTTATTTCCTGAAATGGGATTGAGCCTTAGGAGGGCAGTATAGGAGGACATGACCTCTGTAGGTGCAAGGAACTTAGGTTTAATCGTAGCCAATTTCATGAGACAATGTTGGAAACAAAATGTCTGGTTACTATTTAACTGTCAGTAATATCGCTAAACATTTCCTTTGATTAGTGTGTTCTTCCTATTTGTTTGCAAGTTTTTGAGAACTTGGGAAGTTGTTGAGCTAAAAAGTCAAGGCATGTCACTGCTATTGTCTTCCAGTCACCTGTTCAAATATGTCACTTTTTGAATGTGAAAGACTTTTCTCTAAAATGGTTTGATTGTTTATTTGTTTTGTCTTTAAGATAAAGCGCCTTTGTCAAAGAGTTTGTTACTAGTCCCAAGTGCCATCTCGATTCTATTGACTCTGCTCTTCCAACACTATCAGAAGTTCTTTGCGTATAATCTACAAGCTGTAAAAGAGGATTTTCAGGTAAGAGTCCGTTCATTTTGTGTGAAAAGAGACTGCAAACTGTGATCTTCTATGCCATTTTTCCCCACAGTCTGTTTCTCCTCTGGTTCTTTCCCTTTGTTCACTGCTGTAGACCAGCTTGTTCTTGCCTTTTTGTATGTCACAGCCAGTATGCTACTTTTTGGAAAACATGAGAAGAACTGATCTGAAACAATCAGCATAGCTTTTCACTTCTTTTTCTTGTCTGGGAAATTACTTGGTTTGTGTCGTTTTTCCTTTCAGGCATTGGCATTTGGAAAGTTGCTGTGAATGAAGTGTGACTTCATACATTTAATAATGCAAGTATTTTGATGTGAATGTCAGTATCTTATTGTGCCGAATTTTGAGGCTGAAGAGGGCTATTTTGATTAGGCATGCTGATTACAAATTATATATTTTAACAATGGAGGCCATAACTTTCATTCTCTAACTAACTGTTGTAGCTAGTTGTGGAAAACAAAACGTTGCCCGTTGAATAGAACTGCTGCTTCTAAATTGAAAATTCCAGGTGATGGGGGAGTTTGTTGTGCTCTTCAGTAATTGGCTGAATTGGTTAATTTCTTACTCATTCCTGTTTGAAACTAAGATACTCTATCTTTTAAGTATTGTATCCTGCAAGGTTTTATTTTAAATTAGAAAGGATCCTATAGTATCAGCTCTAAGTGTTGAAACAATGCACTTCAAAGTGATGAGATAAATTCTGTGGGTATTTGTTTTGGGATGTTTTTAAATTTTTTGAAGTGGCAAACTACTGCTCCATAGAGAAGGGTCAGCAAATGCCTCCTGTGTTTATCTTACCCCACAGATTTTACAATTGCATCAAACAAAATGTATGTAATCAAATTAATGTCTTTGAGGATGCCAGCTGTAGCCTGTAAGTTTTTAAAGAATATTAGACCTAGCTACTGATGCACTGTGCTATTGCAGTCTCTGCAATCTTTCCTGTCAAGAAGAACAGCTTTATTGTAATAATAAATTACAGCTCTGCAAGAGCACTACTCATATTTTCCGTGTCTTGCTGATGCTGTGCAGTGAAAATACATAAACGATGTCTGCCTTTTAAAAATGTTACAGACTGGTGTTTGGGGAGAGGAATAAAAAAGTCTGAGAAACTATTCAAGTTTTAAATGGAAATTGTGTGGGTTTGGGATTTGTTAATTTGTTTGGTTTTTTGTTGTTTATTTCATTTGTTTTCATAGGAATCCTCTCTTTCCATATGTTTGATCTGCTGAGAAACAGTAGTAGCTGCATTTTATTCAAAGAAAAGCTCTCTACTGTATCTTAACCATAAATACATGCAAGTATCTGTAAAAGCTGTGACACTTTTCTTGTGGTTCTTTGGGGAATTTGAGTTTGGATTTTTTATTTCATTAGATTGTTTCACTTATTGCCACAGCCTTTGGAGCAAACTGTGTACTATATCACTGAGTACCTCTGAGATCAGAGAGAGCAGATTGTTTAACTCCTGTCTGGTGCTAATATTCAAATGAGAACTCTTAAAAGAAATTATTTGTAGAATAAATTCACCTGCAAGTATGTGTTTAAAGGAAAGGAATTTTTTCAGGAGCTGAACAAATATTTTGGATGTCAGATTTTAACACTTCTTAAAGCTGGTAAAGAGCACACGAATTAAAGTGTACAGTTGAAGAAAAGTTCATTTGATTTGGAAGGCAAAATATGTACTCTCCAAAACTAAAAGGTCCTTGTCTCCATACAGAGGGCCCTTAAGAGCAGTGAAGATGCTGTGAGTAAAAGATCTTTATTACATCGTATCTATGTATTTTTAAAGGCACAGAGCAGTAAGGCTGGAAGCCTTTCATAGTCTGTGGGAGGGCTGCTCAGTTAGTGTGTGTCATGAGGTATTCAGCTGCAAGGTCATAGCACTGCCAGTCTTGACTTCAGGGGGGATGGTACTCCGGCTAGGATTTAAAATTGGACATGTTGACATGGGATAGTGAGAACAGTGAGTGAAGTGGATTGGGGCCAATACTGTTTAGTGTCTTCATTCATAACTTGGACAGTGGGACACAGCATTCTCTCAACAAGCCTGTGGGTGATGTAAAACTTGGATTTGCAGTTGTTACACCTGTTAGTTCTGCAGCCATTTAGAGTGGGAGGAAAAGGTCAGTAGGAACCTTGGTTCAGCAAAGGCAAATGCAAACTCCTGCATCAGAGAGGAGTAACATCATGCATGTAAAGGCTGTGTGCTGAGCAGCTGGAAATCACTTTACAGGAAAAGCCCTGAGGATCCTGGTGGATGCTTATATTGAACAGGAGCCAGCAAAGCAGCATTGTGACTAAGAAGCCCAACAGCATCCTGGGCTGCATTAGGAAGAGCCTCACAAGGAGACCTGGATGGTGATCATCTATACTCAGTCTCAGTGAGAGCAGTCTGAAATGTTGTCCCTTGTGCTGGGCTCCTGAGTACACAATTGACCTTAACATATTGCAGAGAGTTCAGTGGAGGGCCACCAGGGTGCTCAGGGGCTGGAGCATTTGGTGTTATGAGGAGAGGCTGATTGTTTAACCTGGGAAAGAGAAGGTTTAGGGTGGATCTTACCAGTGTGTGTAAATACCTAATGTGAGGAAGCAGAAAAGGTGGAGCCAGGCCCAGTGAAAGGACAAGAGGCAATGGGCCTGAACTGAAATACAAGAAATTCCATTTGAAGAAAAATGGTTTTACTGTGAGACTGATGGAATAGAGGAACAGTTTCCATCCTTAGAGATGTTCATGACTCAGCATGGCCCTGAGCAAGCTGATGTGATTAGACCTTCTTAGAACAGTTACACTGTACTAGTGTGTATCTAGAGGTTGCTTCAAAAAAAATTTTTTAATAATTCTAAATTCACTAGGATTATGACTTACATTTTTATTTTTAAGTGTAAACTACGAACCTGAAAGTGTATTTGAGTTAATTTCAATTGTTTATTTATTTTAACAGTTAGACATCTGCCTTGAAAATATTTCAAAGAGACTTCTTGAACTCTCCATAACATTCTACTCTGTGTATTTTCCTCCACAACTCTGCTGCATTTCTGTTATCTGACTCTAGTATTGCATTTCCTCTGAGCACAAATTCTGTAAAGAATTTCCTTGAAGGAAGAATCACTTAACATGATTATCATTAACCTTCCAGATTTGGAGACTTGTATGTGGAAGAACAATATGTCTTGATTTGAAAGACACATTCTGCAGCAGTCTGCTCATTTACAACTTCAGAATATTTGAAAGAAGATATGGCAGCAGAAAATTTTCAGTAAGTTCCAGTTTTGAGGTTTTTTTTCATAGAAGCTATTCTATGCAGTTTAGTCTTGTACTCTTGGATGAATACTGCAGTTTTATTTCTAGTGTGTTGTAGAGAAATATATGTTAAAGGGTGTGCTGGTTTCATCTGGGGAAGGACAGACTCAGAGGTTTTTCTCTATGAGAACTTCCTCTGTGAGTTGATGTGACCAATTGAAGGCTGGTTTGGTTATTGACAGCCTGAGAAACCAATTGGAGAAAATTAGTTCGCTCCGTGAACGCACATTTTGAAGGAGGTAAGCCGGGAAAAAGCTCTCTTTTATTTCCAGTGGCTGAGCAGGTAACACCGGCCCGGCCCGGGCTCCCTCCCATGTGGAGGGGGCTCAGAGGCCGCTGGGCCCCGTTTGCAAACCAGGGGACCCGATGGCAGTGGGGAGGAGGAAAGGCTCATTGATGAGACCTTAGCCCTGTTTCCTCCCCCATGGGCCCGTGGCTCTGGGGCCCCGGCTCCTGCTGCTGCCTCGGAGCAGCTTTGGAGGGGCTGAGCCCACCCAGCCCCGCACGGCCTGGGGGAGGCAGCCGGGCCTGGCTGGGGAGCAGCGGTGGCCATGGGCAGTGGGGGCAGCAGCCCAGCCCCAGAAAGGCTGACTGAGATCCCAGCCACCCCGCAGGCCTGGGCCTGGCCCAGATCTTGCAGCTTCTGTGTGAAACTTTAACTCTTTAGTGCTTGGCTAAGACCTGCAGACCTCCAATTTTCTTTTGAATGAAAGGGAAAAAACAGAAAAGATACAAAGTCAGTGAAGCAAGAGCTAAGTTATTTAGATGAAAGGAGAATGAGAAGATGCTATGTAGGTTGTCTGAAAATCCTTCTGTGAAGTTGTAGGGATGAACTGATATTACACTGAATATTCCTATAAACCATGGAGAAAGACATGGGGGGTTGGAGTGTTCCATTTGATAGATTGTTGACCAAAGGCACCTGTGTTGAGAATCCTTCGCCCCGAGGAGAAAAGGGGATTTCTTTTTCTGGAGATGAAGCATGAACAGAGAGAAAGAGAGATGAAGAGAATTTTTGGTTTGGAACAGTTCATTCTTAAAAGTAAATACCCCATGAGTTTAACATGGTCCATAAGCACAGCTCTGGGAAAGCTGTGAAAATGGGAGGAGCCTCATGATTTGTAAATTATTTTCCCGGGTGGATGTGAATCGTGAGAAGTGAAGCCAAGAGAGAACTGTTTTGTTCTCTCCTTGTGGAAAAGTCCCTATGGCCTGACAAGAGGAAACTTCTCTCTCCACAGTGAACTGAAAAGGATTATTTAAGTTGGGAACTGACTGAAGTAGTTTTTTGTATGTTTCTTTTGTTGTTATGAAGGTTGGGAGAGGGAAGGAAGGAGTGGTCTGAAGATCATATTCTGAATTTGCTTTTTCTTTCTCTTTCTTTGTGTAGTTAATAAAGTTTTTTATACCCTTTCTAAGTTTTAGGCCTGCCTTGCTCTTTTGCTCCTGGTTCTGTCTCACAACAGAAAATTAGTATATTTAAATTGGCAAATTACAACTATGTCAAAGGGTTTTAAAGATAATGTGGTTTTAATAAATTTAAATTTATATTGATAATAACTTGCAGTCAGTGGATTTTTCTAATTACTGTTTGTGGTTGTATCAGTTGAAAAATATCAGACCCATGAAATTTAATTTTGGAAACAATCTTACTCTTGATTCTTTAGTATCTAGACAAGTAGACCTGGAATTACGTTGTGTTAAAGATTGAATTAGTGTAGAGGTTTTCTTATTTTTTCTTATATTTAGAGATATATTAAAATCTAATTTTGAAATTGTTGAATTTATTCAAATTAATATTTTTCTTTCCAGTCTTTTTTATTGGGTGCTTGGATGCTCTCAGCTTTGTTTGATCTTCTCCTTGTTGAAATCACTCAGTATATATTTGGCATCACCATCAACAGCTTGCCTTCTGGTTTGTAAGTAGCTTCTAATGAATTGGTTATTTTAGATATGGTTTCAAGGGATTGTTTTCTGAAGATTTTATTTTAAAAAACCTTTCTTCATGTAATACTTCAAATTAATTTAATCCTCTTTTGCACTGAAGTGTAAAGGTTCTTGGCACAACTATCGTAATTTCAAACATTTATTTCTTAGCTATGATTTGTGTTTAATTTATAATTTATCCATACGATGATTAGTTTCCAATCTGTTAGTCTCATTACCTCTGTTAACATTATTGCAACATGGGTTGCAGCACACAAATTATTGCTGCATTTGTTCAGTCTAAATTGTTTAGATCCATTCAATTTGTAAAAACTGGAATCAGGTTGTGCTGATTTCTGTCTTAAATCAGAAATGCAACAGAGCTGTAAGTCATGGGCTTTATGTTCACTTTTAAATGCATATGCATTTTGTACTGGTATATTGTATGTTTTTCAAAACTTGAGTGCCAGAGTTTGTTACTCCATTTTGTGCTTGCAGCTGAAGTTCTTATGGCTTTAAGGTGTTCAGTGGTTCCGTTTTTTCATGACCTATGTTTGAGATTTCTGCACTTAATAAAAGATGTGCATTTTACAGTAGAAGCACAGAGCTTGCAACCTTTGTGGTTAAGCTTTTGGTAGGTGAGATCACAGAGACTTGAGTTTCCATGTGTTGTACACTCTGAGGTAGTAATAAAAGCTCTTGGAGTAAGACTTTTTAATATTAAACACCATATTAGACTTTTTTTAATTTCTATTTTTCTCTTTGAAAGTATCTAAAGACTGATTTATAAGGGACAAAAAGCACGTGTTTGATATTATAAAGATACATTTTTGTAGTGTGTGAGTATTCAAAAGAAGTTGAAAGCTTGAGTAGCTGCTACAGTTACTTGTGTTTGTTACTTAGAGTTTGTTGCTTGGACATAGACTGCTAATGTGTCTGGAGAAATCAGTATTTTCCTATATGTAAAAAGATACTTTTTGCAAAAGGTGTCATAGATGTGCACATCCTACCCACGGGTAGATAGTTAACAGTTTTGCTGTTGTACCCTTTGATGGTGTTTTTATGGCTGCATAATGTAGCTAGTTACAAGAAATCTGCATCAAAGATGTTTTTAATTAAGTAAAATAAAAATTTTACCTACATATGCCTTCTCATTAAGTCATAATGAATGTGATCTTGAGAGACTGAAGTTAATTTTAGAAGAGTGGGATAGACAGTAGTTTCAGGAGCATTTGATTATGCAAATATAAAAAAATTAATACATGCATTGCATTATAATTCTTCAGTATTGTCTACTTTATTGTATTAATAGTCACTTTCACATCTGACACTAGTCACAGTCGTTTGAGGTGATAAAAGCATTGGAAAATGTAACATTGATGCTAGGTTTTAGTTCATTTAAGGTGAAAAAACAAAAGATGTTGAGCAAATAGAGAGAAAATTATTATTCTGCTTCTTTCATATTTAGAGTGCAACAAATATATCTGTTACTTTCTGTGTAGCCGAGTGCTTGAATCTGGAAAAAGAATTCACTTGTTTACATTGTAAAAGTCCTCTGACATTTTTTTCTCTCTTTATATCATTTCACTGTTCATATTATTGAGTGATCTTACACTTCCAGTTCGAAAACTTTTCCTGCGCACGCTTCGAAGGTAATTCCGATAAAGGATTACACTGATGACTCTTGCCTGGAATTGCTTGGAAACAATGTAGTATAGTATAACATCCAAGCATGTACTGAGATTCATGAGAAAGGTGGTAAAGGCTGCCCAGGGATTATAACTTGTATTTTCATCTTGCAACATCAGGAAGGCAAAGCAAATGTGGAAGGGTACAAAGCAGATGAGTACCTGAGCAATCAGAGTAACTATAATTCTTATGGATCTCTCCTTGGCCTTAGGCTTCAGCTTGGAAGTCTTGCCGTGAATAAAATTATAAATAATGACTAGGTAACACCCCATCATGATAAACAAGGGGATCAAAAAGAAAAAAATCAATCGACAAAAATTCAAGGTATTTACTTCCTTTAAATGGATGATATCAAGCATTTTCATGCAGGTGGTGAAATTTGAGGCTTGGTCTGGATCAGATCGTAAAAACACCAATGGGGATGTTGTTGAGAGGGTCATTATCCAGATTCCAGTGCAAGCCAGCACAGCTTTTTTTGTATTTTTTAGCTCTTTGACATGTTTGGGCTGAACAATAGCCATAAATCTGTCTACGCTGATAAAAGCGAGCAGCCACAGAGCAATGGCTGGATAAAACACAGTGAAAGCCCCGAGGATCCGGCAGAATGCATCTCCAAAAGGCCACGTTTCTGTCCCGTGGTAGATTATCCGAAAAGGCAAGGAAAATATAAAAACTAGGTCAAGTAACGCGACATTCATCATATAGACAGTTATAGTTGTTCTCTTCTTGGTAGTGCAGCTGAACACCCATAGTGCAGTGGCATTCACCAACAATCCCACTGTGAACACAAAGCTGTAGAAGACCAGTGATGCAATCTTGTATTCTTCTGGGTGGGAATTTTCTGGCATCATAGTTTAATTGAACTTAGGAATAGTTGTTGCACTCCATAAATACCCTAAAATTAGATAAAATATGGGAAGTTATTCTCAGTCAAATAAAATCTGTCTTTAAAAACATACAGGAAGATTGTTTTAGGATGGTGTTTAGTGATGAAACTATTGTTTAGCTCTGAAATGTGCTAGCTTTGTTGCTTTTTCTGACTGCAAATATATTATCATCTTCTGAGGGAAATATGTGTCAGACTTGTGAAAATAGTAATGTTTTAAATAAGTAAGCATGTTTTAATAGAATATTTTAATTATTTAAAGGGCCTTTTAATATAAGGGATCAAAAAGTCAAGATTGACATTTGAGGTGTGCATTAGTAGCTGATAATTAGATTGAAGTAGTTGTATTTGAACTATGAGAACTACTTTCTAAAGAAACTATTTCTTCAAGCTGTCTCTATGAAAAAATTCTTGACTAAAACTAGTTACGATTAGAAAGATGTCAGCATGGCATGTAATGACATTTGGATATGCAGAGAGTATTGACTTTGCTTTTTATCTGTGTAGGACCTACTTAACTCCCAAAAGAACAGATGCTTGCTCATAAAAGACAATAAAAAAACCGTTTGAGTATCTACATAGCTTCTAATACAGTGTTTAATCCCAGGGCATCAGAACCACCCACCTAACATACAAATAAAATGAATAGGTTAATAGACTTCCTGTTTAAAAAAGTAAAAAGAAGGGTAGCAGCACAGTCTCCAGCCAGGCTGTAGGGGAACAGTATTTGTCTGGGGGGAAGAGTTGCTGTCTGGTAGCCAGCTATCCCAGAGCACAGTTATGTTCCTTCATCCAGCTTCTTGGTCATGGGAGTTGGACATCTGAAATGTCACTGTGCAGGCTGAGGTGATGAGAGCTGAAGGAGAGGATCTCTGGTTTGCTCTGGGGCCCGTGAGGATGGCAGACCTTACCTGGTGTTTGCATGAGTGCTTTGTCTAACCTTCACCCCCAGCACTTTCCTGGCTCTTGCTGTGGTCACAGTTTCATGACTTTATGTGGGAGGGTTCCTCTTGTCTAGCCTTTTACCCAGTCCTGTGGCAGCTTTGTGAAGAGGAGGAGAAGGAACAAATTACTTGTTTGTCTGTTCTTCCCACTTGTGACAAACAGCCAAGGAAGTTTTACAGTATCTGTTAGGCACCAGAACTGTTCTCAAGAGCAGAAGGGTTCATAGTTCCTGTGTGCTTTATCTCCAGAAATGAAGAATGCATTAAAAAACAGGTTTATTGTTACTGCCCATCTGGTTAATGCTTTCTCTGTAATGTTACCAAATACTTTCTCAGTGCTGCTGGAATGCATAGGGATTGAACCAGTGTTTATTAATCTGGCATCCTGTTTTGACACTGGCAAATACTAGCTGCTTTTGAGAAGAGTACCCTTAAAGTAACTAACTTAAATATGACCCATTAAATCTTTATATAGTTAAGTTTCTGCCTTGAAATATGAAGTTTGGGCTTCTAATTTTCTTAAAATTCTCCAGTTTACAGATCTATAAAAAAGTTATGCATAGAAATATTTAACCCTTAACTTCAAAGTCTTTTGTTTCAGCTGTACGAAACGAAAAAAGGTGTGTTTTCTGCTCAGATAAGGACATTAGAACATGCAACAGAATTTATGTGTTGTATGGGAGAAGCTATGTATGTAATGCAAAAAAGAGGTTTGGAGGACATCTGTATGAATGCCTCTCACATTCTTCATTGTGTGAAGAACTCTAAAAATAAGAAAAATAAAATAATTAAACAATGCTAGCAAACCTTATTGAAGGTTAGATGGCATATGCTAAAAAATGTTGTGCATGTGCTAGCAGCATAGCTAAAATATTATTGGCACATTGTTCCACTTTCACTACTGCTGTGCAAAATTGTCCAAATGTTGCTTAATACACACCTCCCCCCTGCCCTTGCACATTGTAAGTGGGTTTTTTTCCTCTTTTGTTCTCTTTTTTTTCTCTCTTGCTAGTGATTGTGTATGACAGTGCAGAACTACCAAACTCAATATTCTGAGTGATTTGGCAGGTGAATTGAATAGTAATGTATAAGACAGGTAGAAAAATCCACATGAATATTAAGAAAAATAATGGATTTTAGTTTTAGCTTTGCTCTTGTCTCCTTTGGACTTGCAGTGACTGTAATTGTTTCTAGTCAGGTCATGTTTTTGAAATAACCAGTAGCCTGATGTTGATGGGAAGAAAGGAAGCTGAATCTGGTGTGATTATCTTTCCACGCCTTGTTTGCTGGTTAATTCGTTCGTGACAGTTTTGAGATATATTAGAGAACAGACCTGCTGTAACAAAAAGGGTTTGTTGGGCTTTGTTTTGTTTTTTTTTTTTCCTTGGTTGTTGGAGACACAGTTTCCCAACTTTGTGAGTTTAAATGCATGACAGTTAATTTTTAAGAACCTGAAATACAACATTTATGTAGGTAAGAAATACTGAGATTTTTAGAAAGCATGAGTTACCTGTCTGCATTTATACACAATTGGAGATATTTTGATTTTTCATAGGTACTTGTCTACATGGAGTTCAGGTTGATATCTCCCAGGTCAGCCCAAGCAGATCTTTGGATGCCTCTGGGTGGATGGTTTTGCCCTAGTTGCCATTTTTCACAATGGGAACATTTACTTACTAGTATTGATTAAAGCACTTGCTGAAGAGCCCCTGGAATCACAGGTTTCTGGAAGACTTGTCTGTGTTAATTCTGAATGATTCCTCTGTTGTTTTATGTATGTTTTATCAAGCTTTTAAATTTTTAATGATAACTGGCATTCTAAATGTCTAATGTGAATTGTGAAGGCCAGCTAGGTGCCCTGTACGAGAACAAGATGTTCACAGCAAAATCACAGTTAAATCTTTTCCTCCAGATTCTTAATGCGGGTTAGGTAACAGTGGTTCCATTTAGAGGACCATGTGTGTATCTCTCCTTCTATTCCCCCTTTTTACTTTATCTATCCCCTATATTTGCTTGCATTTCCCCAAGGAGAACATGGCTTTCAGTGAAACACAGAGACACTAAGTAACACGATCTCCTGGTTTTAGTTTCATGAAAACAAACATTTTTCTTTTAGGGATAAATATACTTACCATTGTTTTCATTTACTGCATACTTCTAAAATTTTTGTTAAAATCCTAAACAACAGTATTTATGGAACTATGCTTTTACAAATGTGATCATTTTTCTTTAAATATTATTTATAGAATGCTGCTGATATTTTGAAAGTGCATTAAAAATTTAAATCTTTTCATTAGTTCTAGAATTAATAACCATGTTTGGCTTCTGAACAAAGAAGTCTCTTAGCAACAAGTATGAACATCCAAGTTACTTCATTAGCACGGCATAAGGAATCATTACTCACCTTCTGTGCTCTACAAAACTTCTTCAGAGATGCTTCTTTCATGGCCCCAAATCTGTAGAAGGCTTAGACTTCCTCTTCTTTGCTCAGCTTCACTTAGCTAAAATAGCTCCTCTTCACAGGCAGGAAACAATGATGTCATCTCACTAGTTTTGAGCTCTTTTATTGGTCATACTTAAAAGTTACTATTTTACATAGGTGTGGTGTCTGTGAACTGATATTTCTATTACCTTTCAACAGTCAAACTTCTATAATATTTCCAGTGTGGTCAGACTGGGCTGGGCTGTTGTACTGCGTATCTTTTCAACTTTTAAATGTTTGTGGTATAATGAAAGCATATTTTATATTAAAGTTTCCATAAAGAGGTGTCTGCAAGAATACACATTTTGGTTATGCATGAGTTTCTAACAAGCACAATGTAAATGTATTTTCAGTAGAGCATAGTCTATGGATTTTTTGTGGAAAACCCCATTTTATTTATATTGCCTTGGATAGTAGTCAGTCTGAAAGTGACAGAAAGTCACTGCATTTGAAATGAGAAGTTTGATTCACTTGAATACACAACTTTGTTTATGCCTGTACTTACAACATTTTATTAACACAGCACCAATATTTCTATATTTTATTTGCTGTCTAAATTAATAACATGCTTATTCAAGAGCTTTGCTGAAAAATGCTGTATGAAAAGAGGTTTTAGCCTGGAGTAAAATCAGGAGTAAAAAATGGAGTAAAATCTCTCAGCTGTGTCAACAGCTGCAACGGACATCTTAGATGGGATGGGAATATTCACAAAGGATTATAGGTAAAGAAGAATAACTTCCTATGTTTTCTCTTTGTCAACTTGAAAAAAGATCTGCCCTTTAGAACAGCCATTCAGAGAAGGAGCTTATTCCATATTCTCTGTAGAGTAATTGTTGCTTCAGGTCTCTGGCTGGCAATCTTTGGGATGTGGTAGCAGAAAGCTCCGTGTTGAGTAGGGGAACAATAATGTTTTGGTCTCCCCCTGACATGTCATCAAGAATTTGCCAGGATGTTCACTTGGTGCCAGAAGCAACAAAGTCCTGCAGTTCAGAAATAGCCAGAATCAGGTTTGTTTATGGGAACATCTTTTTTCACTGACTGTAAAACTAATGTAGGTTGGTGATCCTCACTTAGTGGTCAAGATAACTTCTGGTGAAAGAAGCTTCTCTCTACTGTAGTCACGTAATTTATCTCAGATAAATTAATTTGTGTTCGCATGTAGGTGTCTGCATAGGTCAGTGTGATGGTTAAAGTGATTAGAGGGAGGGACCTAGATATGATTTTTGGTGTGTAGATTACCTTCAAATAATTCATTTATTCATTTAGGTGAGCTGATATGAAACTTGCTTTTTTGTGATCATTCCAAAGGCCTTTAAAATGCAGTAAGCTGCAAATTATACCCAGATCTCCCTAGAGAAATATAAATCTATTTAAAAGTGCTTAATATTTTAGGACTAAGGAATATCTTAACTAGTGCTGAAAACTCTTCAGTGGCTTTATCATTAGTAAAGCAACTCCAGAGCATGCTTCAGCAGAACAAAGCACTGTTTTCAGCTGTTCAGTAAAAGTTCAATGAAATTCAGTGCCATATGTATACCTCTGGAAGAGAAGAACTGGACTTTTGAACTTTCCTAGGCAAGAGTACTGTATTTAGGAAAAAAATACTGAAGTGTGGAGGCACCTTCCAAGCTGAGCTGTACTGTGAATATGCCAAAACAGGCAAGTGGACAACCAGTGCTTCCCTTAGCGAAAGAGGAAGCACAAAAGTGATTTTCTGGGTTTAATGGAAAACAGGCAGATGTTGAGTTTGGGATCAGAGAACCTATGTGCTGTGAGTTGTCTCTTGGCTTGTTGTCTTTCTTCTTTGGGGAGGGTGGTAAGTGTGACCTGTTGTAGCTGTGTCATTTTGTCTGAAGGGTGGCTGATGTTCTGACCCTGCAAGGGAGGTCATGCCTTGTGAGGGCAGCTGGAATCAAATCCCACAGTTTACACAGGTGACTAACAGCAGCTCAGTTGAGTTTGCCGGCAGGTTAGCCATGCATCTGGTTTGCTGCAGCATGTCAGTCTGTGTTGTGCTTTCACTCAGGCTTTTCACTGCCTTCCTGGTGGAGAAGAGGCAGCCAAACCTCTCTGCTGCTTCTAGGCTGGCAGGCCTTCCCCCCAGGCATGAAGGGGTAGCTCTGTTTAGCTGCAGCAGGCTGAAAAGAGGTGTTTGCAGTACCAGCAGTTGCATACTCCTTGTCTAGGTCCTCGGCTGGCTGCAGCTGCAGGGTGATAAGCATTTGGAAATAAACACCCAAGTCAAAAATTGCACTGCCTGTGGTTTGTGAGAGGCAATGGGCTGCTCTGCAGTGCTGCATTCCCCTGTTACGTTGGTTTCTGCTGTAGGAAGCACCTGGCTCTATTTTTATTTCCTTACCAGCTAGAAACGAGTGCCTTGCATTAGTTTCTCTCAGATGGGTGAGTACTTCCTCTGCTCCAGCTTCTACTGAATTAAATGCTCAGTTCCATGTAGGGTGTTCTTTTGCTATTCTGAAATTTGAGCAGTAGACAAGGTAATTTTAGTTATGCATTATGTTGTGCTAAAGCTGGTTTAAAGTAGTTAAAAGCTAAGCCAATGTACTTCCTGTCTGAGGATAAGGCAAAGTGCATGTGGTCTCTTATGGTGCCTTCACTAACTGGCAGCCTCAGAAGAAATGAGCTTGCAACAACCTCAAAGTGCAGCACTGAAGAGACTGCCTTCATGCTGTTGCTTTTGCAGAATTAATATACTGCTGGGTCTTTCAGTGGTTTAGTCATGGTACAGAAAATTCTGTTTTTCATGTTCACTTACTGTGTAATGTAAGCTTTGTCCAGCTAATACAGAGGAGTTCTGCACACAGTGGGACAGAAGGATTACCCTCTGCCTCAGTTTGGTAGGGAGCTGTCTTGAGTTCTTCTCCTTTCAAACTTTCCACCTTTTGGATCTATTGAAAAGACAGAACTGAAGTTTCTTGCATGGTTCATTGCACCAGCGGTGCAGGAAGCAACTCTCCCATGTCAGTTTGTTACCTTACCAGCTTGCTCTTGTGGGTGAGTTCACATGCAATTTTGGGTTACTGTTCTCAACCTTGAAAACTGGCTTCATTTTTTATTCCCATACTGTGTTCACCATAGTGAATACTTAAGAATAAACTACTGGTTAAATGTTGTCATGGCACTGAATGCATGAAGTTATTGCAGATGTTTCCAGTTTTGCCATGTGTGTTACTCAGAGGCTGCATCAAGGCATAGCTGTCCCTCTTCTCTCACTCATCTGTCTGAGGGGGTATAAATGCAGTGTGCAGAAAGAATGGAAAAGGGAGCAGCTTAAGAGAGCTACAGCTGTACCTGACATGTCTTATTTACTGTCATATTTTGCTTTCTCTTCCCTGTTTTGCTAGTACATGGTATGGTTTGAGGAAGGAGCTCTTGTTTTCTCCCTTTAAAAAAAAAATCTACATTCCATGTTTCTCCTGGGTTCATTTGGGGTTTTTTCCTACCCTTCTTCCCTTCCCCTACCACCCTGCACAATCTCTCATAACAACCAGGACACACCCTGTGTCACTAAATAGCCTAAAAATATACAGTGCATCTGGCCTATAGTTCATCTGTTTATCACTGTCAGTCAGCCTTTGAAAGTAGCAATACTTCAAAAATTAATTAAAATGAAAGTTGCATCTCTGAGATGTCTATGATAGTGGGGTAGTGGACTAGAAACAGTGTTCTTCTACACACCAGCAATCTCAGAGTGGCTATAGCCTAGTTCATGGCAAATACCAACACAGCTCCATGCTTGTTGATGGACCCCTGTTGTCTTTGGCAAATTTCTTAAACTGCTGGGTCTGCTCTGCCTTCCCATGCTCTGTTTTATTGGGAAGCAGCTTTTTTAATTCAAAAAGTACACATTTATCATGACAGATATGTCACAGTTTTTTAAAACCTGCATTAGCATCAGGTGTTTTATTTTCTTTTCTAAAATCTGCATTGTCAGGAACTAGTTAGTTTTTCCAGTTTGGAAGTGTCTAGGAGAGTTTTTTCCCAATACCCTTTCTTTACTAAGTATGTGGTAATTGATGTTTTTACTATTAAACTGCTCTTATAGGTCTCAGGTGAATAAGAAATATTGTTCTGAAACTTGATATGACTCCCAGGAATAGTGTTTCAAAAGAAATATCTTTATTTGGAGCTGCGTGTACTCAGATTCCTTTGATGAAGTCGAGTGCAGGAGTAGGGAAAGTTGTTCTGACTTCTCCAGAGTTCAGGAGTTTGGACAAGGTCTGTCAGTAGCTAGGCCAAGTATATGTTATCAGAAATTAAACAATTAAAAATTGCTACATAGACTTTAGCAGACCAGTGAAGAGTTTAATCAAAAGTGCCTGAAGTGAGAGTGGGCTAGATAGAATTAGAATAAGCACTTCAGATTCAAGGGTGCCTTGCAGTGTGTTCCCCAGCCCTGGCAGGTAGCCTGATTTGCAGAAGTGACAATCTTCTAATGCTGTTCTGCCTGTGTCACCCGTCCCTGGTGCAGATGAACAAGCAGCAGTGTGTTGGGTTTGTGAAGCTTGGCGTGCTGTGGTGGAGTTGAGGTGACATGATGACAAAGGAGCTGGCATAATCCAGGCTGGGACAAAGCAGCCCGGTGCCTGCTGCACAGCATGTGGCTGGTTAGGAGCTCCTCTGGGCAGGTTCAGCATTGTCCTTGAAGGGAAACGAAAGAGCAGCTGAGTGTGAGTGTGCTCAGTGCATCAGAGCACCGGGACAAGGCCAGCTTGTGCTCTGAGCTAGCTATGGTGGACTGCAGAGCCAGCTGCAAGCAGACAGTCAGTGATTTCAGAGTCACTGTCTTTTCAAGTATGGAGCTGGATCCATAGCAGCTGTATTTCCCAACCACCCGTTCAACTGCAAAAATTGTAACTTTTGCACACACACACACATTAAAGGAAAGGAGCTGAAAATTCTGAGCTTTGTCATGGCAAGAGACCTACGAGAGTAAGTCAGGGCATAAATCTGAAGTTCAATAATTTAAGCAGCTGTTTTCCTTA